GCTAAACTACGCTAAAATAAGGTAAGCCGAGGGCTGAAAAATGCATGTAAATGGTGGGTTATTTTCTTTGTGATTTATGACAATATCACTCGCGCGCGGTTCAAGCAGAGTTCATAAAGCTGTATGCCTCCATACCATTCAACATTTATTTTCGCTTCAAAATAACTGTCTAATTTTCTGTTTTACCTCTTTTGTTTGCTTATAACAGCCTACTCGTTATAGCATAGTCGTTATCATGAATTTAGAGACCTTGATTTTCTTCATGTTGAAGATTTCAATGGAAATGTAAAGAAACGTTATTAGACATTTACAACATATAGGCTACCATTAAGTTTTTTTTTAAATATTGTATTTATTTTTATAAACTTTTATTTATTCACAGTAGCCCAATTGAGACAGGGTCTCATTCCCAATGGTGTTCGTTCCCAACACATTTTCTCACAACAGGAAGAACAATTTACATTACAATTAAAACAAGAATAATAAAAATAACCACAAGGCACAACCTCAACATCACAATTTCAACAAATAAACCACTACAGTGGCAAGCCTAAATAAGTTCAGGAGTAAAAATGTGCTTAACAATTCACATAATAAGTTGCATGGACTCACTCTGTGTGCAATTATAGTGTTTAACATGATTTTTGAATGACTACCTCATCTCTGTACCCCACACATACAGTTATCTGCAAGGTCCCTCAGTCGAGCAGTGAATTTCAAACACAGATTCAACCACAAAGAACAGGGAGGTGTTCCAATGTCTTGCAAAGAAGGGCACCTATTGGTAGATGGGTTAAAAAAAAGCAGACATTGAATATCCCTTTGAGCATGGTGAAGTTATTAATTATACTTTGGATGGTGTATCAATACACAGTCACTACAAAGATACAGGGGTCCTTCCTAACTCAGTTGCTGGAGAGGAAGGAAACCGCTCAGGGATTTCACCACGAGGCCAATGGTGTTTAATGGAGATAACTGAGAATGGATCAACGACATTGTAGTTACTCCACAATACTAACCCAAAAAACAGAGTGAAATGAAGGAAGCCTGTACAGAATACAAATATTCCAAAACATGCAGCCTGTTTGCAATAAGGCACTAAAGTAAAACTGCAAAAAAATTGGCAAAGAAATGAACTTTATGTCCTGAATACAAAGCATTGTGTTTGGGGCAAATCCAACACATCACTGAGTACCACTCTTCATATTTTCAAGCATGGTGGTGGCTGCATCATGTTATGGGTATGCTTGTCATCGGCAAGGACAAGGGAGATTTTTAGGATAAAAACAAACGGAATAGAGCTAAGCACAGGCAAAATCCTAGAGAAAAACCTGGTTCAGTCTGCTTTCCAACAGACACTGGCAGACAAATTCACCTTTCACCAGGACAATAATTTAAAACACAAGGCTAATTAAATATACACTGGAGTTGCTTACCAAGACGACATTGAATGTATATGAAGGCAGGGTAAAGTGACTAGGCATCAGGATAGATAATAATAAGAGTAAAATAAAGAACAGAGCTGCAGCAGCAAATGATGTGTATGTTTGTTTGTGTTGTGTCGGTCTGTGTGTGTGCGTATGTGAATGTGTGTGGGTTTTGTGTGGGAGTATCAAGGTGGTGTGTGTGAGTGTATATATAGTTTGTACATATAATCTAGTGAGGGGTCAGTGCAATATAGAGTATTTAGCAGTCTGGCTATTTAGCAGTCTTATGACTTGGGGGTAGAAGCTGTCTTGGAGCCTGTTGTTCCGAGAGCCAATGCTCCGGTACCATTTGCCAGACGGTAGCAGAGTGAACAGTCTATGGCTTGGGTGGCTGGAGTCTTTGGCAATTTTTGGATATAAAGGTCCTGGATGGCAGGGAGCTCGGCCCCAGTGATGTACTGGTTTGTCCGCACCACCCACTTTAGCGCTTTGTGGTCAATGGCGGTGCATTTGCCATACTAAGCGGTGATGCAGCCAGTCAAGATGCTCTCGATGGTGCAGCTGTATACTTTTTTGAGGATCTGAGGGCCCATGCTAAATCTTTTCAGCCTCCTGAGGGGGAAGAGGCGCTGCCGTGCCTTCTTCACGACTGTGTGGGTGTGTGTGGACCATGTTAGGTCCTTAGTGAAAGAAAGACTCACGGAAAGACTCACAGCTGTAATCGCTGTCAAAGGTGATTCTAACATGTATTGACTCGGGGATGAATACTTATCTAATCAAGATATATTAGTGTTTTCTTTTTCTTTTTTTTGTCTTCCACTTTGACAGTACAGAGTATTTTGTGTAGATCGTTGACAAAAAAAAAATATTAAATCCCTTTTAATCCCACTTTGTAACACAACAAAATGTGGAAAAAGTCAAGGGGTGTGAATACTTTCTGAAGGCACTGTATCTGATATTGAATAAAGAAATGGCTTGTCTGCCAGTGGCAAGTTAGGGTTTTGTTTATGTTTTTCCCTACATGGGACTTTATGATCGAGACTATTGACAGACTTATTTTGTTTTTTTGTAGAGTTTTGTTGGATAAATCTCTATAGATAGTTAATGTTGTAAAAATGGTATTAATATGTAAGAGCTATATTTATGTGTCTTTAATTAATTTTATTCATTTGTCTATTCATTTAACATTTAGGGCTATTTATTTTTCTCTAAAATAGCATAATTTCAGGCAAATTAGATTCTACAGGCCTCAAGCATTCTAGCATTAAAATCTTGAAAATAACAAAATAATGTATTGCCTTTATGGCATTCAAATTGCATTGTTGCCTGCATTATTTATTTTTTTAAACCCATTGACAGTGTCTGCAAAAGTATGCTGAATACGATAAACTGGGTTAAAAACTGTTGACTTGTTTTTAAAAACAATGAATTTCTTAAGGTTAAAAATGGAACAGTAGATATTTGAGTAGGACTAAAGTATATAGGTTGTATAGGTTAGTCTGACATTGCCTCTGTAAGTAGGTTGAAAGGGTCCTATTCACATCATGATGCTATTGAGTTCATAAGATGGATTCATGCTGTCACCTCCCTTATTCTGTGTTTTTTCATAACCTTTCAGGACAGCAACCAAGAAGTAATTGGAAGAAAACTGTCACGTGACTTCTGGGTGCAAATGTTCCTTCAGAAGTTCAAAAGGGCCCCGGTAGCTGGTGAGGCCTTTCTTGGCAATGCAGAAAAATATACCTACCACGGTGCCATAACTACTACACTGAACAAAAATATAAACGCAACATGTAAAGTGTTGGTCCCATGTTTCATGAGCTGAAATAAAAGATCCCAGAAATTTTCCATACGCACAAAAAGCTTATTTCTCTCAAATGTTGTGCACAAATGTGTTTACATCCCTGTTAGTGAGCATTTATCCTTTGACAAGATAATCAATCCACCTGACAGGTGAGGCATATCAAGAAGCTGATTAAACAGCATGATCATTACAAAGGTGCACCTTGTGCTGGGAACAATAAAAGGCCACTCTAAAATGTGCAGTTTTGTCACACAACAAGCCATGGATGTCTCAAGTTTTGAGGGAGCGTGCAATTGGCATGCTGACTGCAGGAATGTCCACAAGGGCTGTTGCCAGAGAATGTAATGTTAATTTCTCTACCATAAGCCGCCTCCTATGTTGTTTTAGAGAGTTTGGCAGTACATCCAACCAGCCTCACAACCGCAGACCATGTGTTTGCTGATGTCAACAGAGTGCCCCATGGTGGCTGTGGGGTTATGGTATGGGCAGGGATAAGCTACGGACAACGAACACAATTGCATTTTATTGATGGCAATTTAGATATTTATTACATTTTTGTATTTTACCCTCTTTTTCTCCCCAATTTCGATATTTTCTCATCGCTGCAACAGGCTCGGGAGGCGAAGGTCGAGTCATGCATCCTTGACCCGCCAAACCGCGCTTCTTAACACCCGTCTGCTTAACCCGGAAGCCAGCCGCACCAGTGTGTCGGAGGAAACACCGCTCACCTGACAACCGAGGTCAGGAGTTGCTAGAGCGCGATGAGCCAAGTAAAGCCCCCCCCCCCGGCCAAACCCTCCCCTAACCCAGACGACGCTGGGCCAATTGTGCGCCGCCCTATGAGACTCCCGATCACGTCTGGTTGTAATACAGCCCGGGATCGAACCCGGGTCTGTAGTGACGCCTCTAGCACTGCGATGCAGTGCCTTAGACCACTGCGCCACTCAGGAGGCCCTATTGATGGTAATTTGAATGCACAAAAAAAACGTGACTAGATCCAGAGGCCCATTGTGGCCCTTTTTTTTTAAGGTATCTGAGCCAACAGATGCATATCTGTATTCCCAGGCATGTGTAATCCATAGATTAGAACCTAATGAACGTATTTCCTCATATGAACTGTAACTCAGTAAAATCTTTACAATTGTTGCATGTTGTGTTTATATTTTTGTTCTGTATATATTTGGAGATTCCCCATACCAAGGTGTCAATGGGTTTAGATACAATCATGACGCACCAGCCCACCAACCCTTGGCCTACCTGGAGAGCCAGAGCAACTTGGAGTTGAATTGCTCATCGCAGTCAAATGGCAACAACAAATCACAGCACCCACAGCACCCAAAAGAGCGTGACCCTAACTCAAATTCGACAAGGCAGATCTGTAAAAAGAACAACTGAGACAAACCCGTAAAAGTATATGGTGTATAGTAAAATGCATAGCCAAACAGTTGGACAGTAGGTGAAATCCCATTTACAAATATTTAATTTTTAAGCTTGATAAATGCTAATATTATGTGATTATGACCAATGGCCGTTGGCTAATTGTAGCCTATTTCCAGTTTCGACAGAAGCTTAAATGTTGATATAATGTAATGTAATATAATGTTGATAAGATTCCATTTATTAATTATGTTACATTTAATTTTATCTCGGCAGAACTCTCTTCTAAAGAGGAAAGCCCATCAACTGTAGCCTAAAAAGGGTGTGCACTACGTACATAAGTGGCCAGTTGGTGGAGCAATTGTTACCTGTGCCATCCCAGGCGCGTGGAGATGCCTAACCAACTCAATTTAAAGGAAAGGCAGATCAAGATTTGGTTTCAAAATCGGAGAATGAAGTACAAGAAAGATGAAAGGTTTAAGGGACTGTGCTCTTCATCAGGTAGCCCAGAAACTCTTACCAGCCTTCGTTATATTAATGCAATGGGTGATGATGATGATTATGACGCTGTTTCCCAGCCTCCTTTAAAGGTGCAATATGTAACTTTTTGGGTGACCAACCAAATTCACATAGAAATATGAGCTATAGATCTGTCATTCTCATGACAGCAAGTCTAAGAAGCAGTAGATCTGTTCTATTTGCACTATTTCTATGCTTCCCGTTCTTAAGTTTCGTTTTTGAATTTTTTTACTTTAGGTTTTGTACACCAGCTGAAAATACAATATTTTGGATTATTGACTCTATATTTCACAGTGGTTTAGATGGTACAATGATTCTCTACACTATGCATTGCTTGTTTTGTCACATAAACTGAAATTTGGGGAACTATTAGAAGTTTAGCAACCTTGAAAGGGCAGAGTGATATCTGCATATTGCACTTTTAAAAGCTATTTGATGTAAAGTCCCCTGTTTAGGGGACCTGCTTGGTTCTGGTACCGGTTCCAACTGACATTTCTGCTTATAAATCGATATGGGGACACCATAGATCGAAATGGCTTGCATTGAGCTGTAGCCCTGTTTCTCACGGACACAGGAGTATGTATATTCTGCCTGTATGAAGCAGGATGTGAAATCTGACACCACTTGAAGCGGGGATGTCCCTCCTACCATTTCATTTGCTCTTCCGACTGTTCATCAACTCCGGGCTGAACCATATGTCACAGCCACTAACAACATGCCTGGAATCCGTACATCGTAAGGCAGAAGGAGAGAGTGGTGTCGTTGCTGTAGCACATTCAGAGATCGAGTTATAGCCAGTAATCTAAAATAATTAATCGATTTTAAACAAAACCACTTTCTGTTTGTCATGGATGGACAAGATGAATATGAGATGAAAGGCGTTCCTAAGGAGTTCAGTAAACTAAGCTAGAGCTCTTTGAGACGTTCACAGCAATGGGGGCAGCAGACGTTATGATAAAGAGAGACCTTTAGAAAATATGCACATTTTCTCTTAACTCTTAAATATACAAATATGTATTTTACAGTTATAAGGAAGGTGAAATCTTATGGTTAGTAGTTTTATAAATTGATTTTACTATATTTAGAAAAAATATGTGAAGCCTTATACAGTTTTGTTGAATAGGAAATACTGTTTCATATTTCATGTTTTCACATTTTTATCATAGTTGTACTGTGTACTTGACCTTGTCCTCAAAAGTGACTACACCTCAGCCATTTATAACTGTTTTTACCAGAAAGGTAAGATTTGAAATTTCTTGGAGTATGCAGCATTACTAGTTATTGTTTATGGCCCTCTCATGATAAATAATTATTTTGTGGATTAAGTAGATTACATTTAGTTCAATTTAAGAGTTCAAAGCTTCAACAAAAAGATTATGTCAGTGCATCAGTCTATCCAAACTCAATGAAAGCCCAACAGAAATATGGCAACACAACATCAGAATATGCTCCATGCAGTATGCAGGACAATTATAGTATTTTATTCATAATGCTCAAGATGGCCCTGTTTATGTTGACCTGAACTTGCCATTCACTGCATATGGGATAAATAACGTGTGTAATAATACTGCACAGATGACATCAAGTCAACAACATCCTAAACATACACTGTGATCCAAACACCATACCTGTTGGGGCATAATTATTCTCAAGAAAGAATCAAGCGTGCTCTTAAACTGACTCATTTATAGCACATGGAATCAATATGTCAATTTACCATAATCAGATCATTAGTTGATGGAATCCAAACTTCAGGTTGTGCAATTAAACTATTTTTTTTGCGCAAAGGCCGATTACTCGCAATATCGAAATGCATGCAGCACCTGCAGGTTATTGATCCTGTTGGACAGTTCTCTATTTATACTATTTTACTAGTTTCTTATCGAATTATGTGAAAACACCGGTTAATGTAAAACATCAAATGTAGTTCAAATGTAAATCAATATCAAGCAAAAACGTTTCTAACTTATGTTTTTGTACTAGACTTGACATGGGATACTTATATAATTGGAGCAGGCATGCATTGGAATATTAGAAACATATTTATTACAATGTTATTTTGTGTTATTTATAGGCTATTTATTAATTTATGCGATTTTGTTATTTGTTATTCTGTAAGACTGACATTTTTTATTACATTTACATTTTAGTTATTTAGTAGACGCTCTTATCCAGAGCGACTTACAGTTTTAGTGCGTGCATACATTTTTCACACTGGGAAACGAACCCACAACCCTGGCGTTGCAAGCGCCATGCTCTACCAACTGAGCTGCAGGGCTTAGTGTTTACAGACATGACTCTTATACTCGAGGGACAGATGAATCAATCAATGTTCTTCTAAATGTAATTTAATTGTGATATCCTTTTATATACCCTATCAAGTGCCTGTAGGCTATATGCTGACGAAGAATTGTCGTATTGTTGAATAAAAATGCATTTGTTGTTCAGACTTTCTACAGCACTTGTTTTTTTAAACACATATTGTTTTTAAAAAAAGAGCAGGCCCTACCTATAAATCGGCTAAATGTGTCTAGTTAGAGTAAAATATATGAAAAATATGTTCAAATATGTCAAATGAAATAGGCCACATTAAGTATAGTCTGGTGAAAATTGTATGCAATAATAAATGGTTAAAAGTCTAAAAGGCACAATGATTTAGCAGTTTCTTTGTTCCCTCTCGAACAAATTGAAGAACCAGCTGTCAAGCGTTTAGAGGAGCGGAAGATTGATCATTGCATTCAAGACTCCGCTCTAAAATTAGCTCTCAGCCAGTAAAACACGCCGAGTTAATAAAATAATTCACATGAGCTGCTTTACTTATGCACATTGGGCAACATAATTCTCATAAATACATGGTAGGCTATCATACACCAATCATCTTGTTAACTGCATGAATGACAATGGAAACATTTCAGTTCACTAAATGTACACAGGCCTATTCTTAGCACACTCGTAAAAAAGCACAGCTAATAGACTACTTCGATCACATAGCCCATCCAAATCAACCGATTGCTTCAAACTCTAAAATATCGAGAAACGAAATCTTTCATTTTTTAAGACTTTACCATTCTCCCTCAGTCTGACAAGGTCTTTGCAGAAGTTCTGTGACGTGTTCTTATCAAATTGATGGGCATGTTTGATTTAAGCATTTGTCATGTAAATGTCAGACGTTTGATGGATGATCCTGACCTGACAAACTGCTATAGGTGCCTTGCCATTGACGTAAAGTGAGTCACATGGCCTGTCACTAAGGTGAGATGAGCGTGGTAGGCAGTTTTACAGCTTTGACATACTACCTAGGGCACAGGGAAGAGCAATTATCCGTCTTCATTCAGTTTGCCATAACAGTACAGGATAACCTTTTACTTAGATTACACAAGTAATAACCGGGGGACGAACATATTCAATGCCAAGGCCGGATACCACAATTTAAACCATGTTTACATGTCCTCATCTTCCAATTCATGCGCAACAAGTGATAGTTACGGGTCCGATGGGCTGTTAGTTGCAGCCAGTATCTTCACTTTAGCAGTGGGAACCAGGGGCAGCAAGAAGATGAGTTCCTTCCCAATGTAGTGAAAAGCATTCGGCTGATTGCAAGGCCGGATACCACAATTTAAACCATGTTTACATGTCCTCATCTTCCAATTCATGCGCAACAAGTGATAGTTACGGGTCCGATGGGCTGTTAGTTGCAGCCAGTATCTTCACTTTAGCAGTGGGAACCAGGGGCAGCAAGAAGATGAGTTCCTTCCCAATGTAGTGAAAAGCATTCGGCTGATTGCAATGTAGATCAAACTTCAAAACCTTTCGACTGGATGAAAGTTAAGAGGAAACCCCCTAAAACAGGTTTGTTATCTACTGGGACATGGTCAGAAATAACACTGTCATGACAAAGGTTAATTTATAGAAAACATTACAAAATAAATATATTTTTAGAGGACATGTAACAGAGACACTGCCTAATCAATGTTTGTGGTGTCCATGTTGGTGCATAAAAAATGTAGGGTAGTAGAGGCGGCAGGTAGCTTAGTGGGTAAGAGTGTTGTTCCAGTAACCGAAAGGTCGCTGGTTCTAATCCCCGAGCCGACTAGGTGAAAAATCTGCCGATGTGCCCTTAAGCAAGGCACTTAACCCTAATTGCTCATGTAAGTCGCTCTGGATAAGAGCGTCTGCTAAATGACTAAAATGTCAAATGTAAAATGTAGAGGATAACCCCCCCCCCCCCCCCCCCCCCCACTGTAATTCACATAAAGACCAGAATATATTTTCCCAACACTTTCCCTGGCTGTCACTGTTCTTGCTGAACAAAACATTTCCTCTGTGTCATCACAACTTTTGGAGATATTTCAACAAAACGATTTTGTGGTAAATTGATCTAATTTTTGAAATTGTGAAAAAGTTGTAGATATATTCTAATGAAGTTGTAAAAAATATATATACAAGTAGGAAAGCCTTAAGATAAATAATCCACTTGTTTTGAGAGAAAAATGTAGATATTTCTTTAGTAAAGTAGTAATATGTTGGATGAGCATGTTGGGGACGACTCCTCCCGGGGGCTAGTTACCCCTTAATGGTTATGAATGTGTTTCTACATGTCATTTAGTTTATGCTAACCTGCTACCTAGCAACTTCACTAGCAGTAAATGCTAGCTCACGAGCATCACATAATCATAATAAGTCTATATAGTTTATTCCTGTTTTCATTCCTTCATTTAAAATTCAATCTATTCAATCAGTTCCTTCATCCATTCATTCACTTTTACAGTTTCACAATATGGAGTCCCTGGCCAACAGAATGTAATCCGCACCAACTTCACTACAAAGCAGCTGACAGAGCTCGAGAAGGAGTTCCATTTCAACAAGTACCTGACCAGGGCTCGGCGAGTGGAGGTTGCAGCTACTCAAGAGCTCAAGGAAACTCAAGTGAAAATCTGGCTCCAAAACCGCAGGATGAAGCAGAAAAAGCTTGAGAAAGCAGGCACGGTTTTTGTAAACACAGCAGCACCGGCAAATGATGTGGTAGAGATCACCTCATCTTCTCCCGATGTGTCACCAAGCTCGAAGACCAAAAGCAATCATTTTACAAATAATATCTGAAATACCGCACTCAGGGTGCTGCACTTTGCTTGTCAAATTTTCAAGGATACCTCAGGTTTTACAGGTAGGTTTAAGGTCGCACTAATTTCTGCAAACAATTTAGTGTAATGTTTGCACTATTCAATACGTTTTATGATTTAACTAATTATGCGAGAAATAAAATAAATGAAATATTTGTTTTGAAAATGTAAGTCTGTATTTGTGCTGATTTGCATATTTGTGAGTGAATGGAATGTTCCAATACAGTAGGCTATAAAGTATGACGATAAGGATATGGTGCAAAAATATATAATCTATGGAAATAATTCGTCTTCTTGATGTTCTTTTTATGCAAATAGTATTTTGAAAGCAAAATATATAGCTGTTTTGTGAAACTGTTTTAAATCAGGCTACTCTTGAAATTAGGAACCAGATGGAAAAATCTATAATTTACTTTGCAATGCAACTCATATTGACAATCTCATATTATTGATTTCTATATAATATACATATATATATTTTTTTACTATAACTAACATACAATGTTCTGTCTCTCTTTGCTGTTGAGTTTTACCAAACCTTTTTCTTTACATAATGTGACATGAGGAGTCTTTCACCACACATGGGGTGGCTACTAATGACCTCTACACCTCCGAATAACTCCAGGGGTTCTAAACATGATAACAAACTGCAGGGCGCAAGGTTTCACACTAGAAGTGTTACCAGAGTTCAAATTACACCATGACATTCGGGGGTCTCTATTGAGAATTTTTTATGGGACTAATAAAAATACAATTTCAACGGTCAAAATGAATGACCTTTTAATGTGGCATGAACACATCCAGTCATGATATTTCCATCTGATTGTCAAACAAATCACTTCAAAAAGTAGGCTATCTGTGCATGTTCTTCCACTCCAAAATAATTCCAGCATCCAAACTGCATGTATACTCGAGGCATTTGATGAATGGAAATAGAAATCTGTTACAAAACACCAAAATGTGTGCCTAATGACATTCAGCAATTGCCATTGACTAGGCCTATATTAATTGATGCATCTTGTTGACAAATTGACCTTTTTTGTAGCCTGAAAAGTTGGGACACCTGAAATGGGGCTGAAACTGGGATGGTCACCCTAACACACACGGTCAACTTACTAGACCAGGCTACAATGTGTATTACCATGAACTTCAAATAGGCCTACTGGTAGATGTAGGCTAGTGGGGGGAAAAAATTGGTGGGTAAACTCTGATTGCTGGTCGCGATTAAAAATAAATTAAGTAAATGGTCCCTATACTTTCAATGCATTTTTTCTGAAAAGGGTGGGTAAACGGGGCTTACTTGCGTTTACCTTCCACTAGGCCTACACCACTGCCGGTAGCCAACCCTCTAAGCCGAGGCAATTTTACACACATGAACACACGCAGAACAGGTAACCTACATTAAATATAATACATGAGTTGAATCAAAACAATGTTTTACAGCTTAGTTCATCAGTTGTCCGTAATTCATCAGTTAATGCCAGGAGTCTTCACAGATCTTGTTACATAAAACACGACCTTTCTTTCCTTACATTGATGACATTTATGACAGTGTTAGGCTATTTGTAATTCTTAAGCATTTAACAATTGAATTAGAACATTGAATTTAAACCCTGTACAAATTATGGATCTTGGAGATCTCGGAAAATGCACTGTAAGTGTAACTATGCATATATAATACATTTCGCTGTGAAAACAGTTCTAATGGGCACACAAATCCAAAACAATGCCATTGCAAAATCACATGCTTTTAACCGAACGTTAAACCTCTTCTAACCGAAAGAGTCACCTTATAGGCCTACTGTCATTAACGTATAGCCTACTTGTTGGATGGATTGGATGCGCATTGGTGTCTAGTGATATTGTCGACCATCATCAGCTGATCCAGGAAAGAAAAATAATATTGATAGAAAAATAATAAAGCTAAATAAATGGTCTACTACTTCTGGCCACAGATGGCAAGGAGAACACCAGTACCTGAAAAACAAAGCAATTAGCGCTCTAAACAGCTGACTGACAAAATATAAAAATGATAAATCAACGGATAATTCCAATGCATTGGAATAAAGGCTATTTTTATTAAAGGATGCATGGCAAACAAATGGCGAAAATGAGGCAGTACAAAGGAAAATCTATATGTAAAGGAGCTCAGCTAAGGCCGAAATACAGCACTACGCCTACTACTGAGTGGACAGCGCTGCCACATATAAATAAATTGTTTATTAAACCATAACATAAAGGTGGGGGTGTTCGTTTCATTTGGAAGCTTTTATTTTCATATTTACCACTGTAAAACATATGCCCTGAGATCCACAAACATTTAGCACAGTTTCTCACTCGCACTTGCCACGTTCTCTTTTGATTATAATTGTTCATTAGAAAATATTTGGATCATTTTCTACCACCACTAAAGAGCTACATTTATATTTTAACCTTGTGTGCTTTTTGTGGCCACATCTCTTCCTAAAAAGGTGCAAGGGCTTGACAATCCTGTTTCATCTCCGGATGGTATAGGCAATCTCAATATTTACACTGGGTGTTAGGTTTGCACAGTTCCTGCCCCAGCGGCACTGGCCTGTCAGTGCCCTCTCCACCAAAGCTGAGGTTCATTCAAAGTTCACCCACAAATGGCTTCACGAAGGCCTCTAGTCAATCTGTCAGGACACCAGAATGGCTTCGAAGAGTCAACTGCAGGTCTCCCTCTCTTCTTTTCCTTTGCCTTTAATATTCCAGACTGAAAATGGCAGCGGATATTTTTTAATCTACATATTGTACGGCTTGTTAAATAATTGTAGTGGAGAGTCATCATAGTTCCTTTCAAAATGTTACCAATAATTGTTAACAAAGATGGAACTGGTGCTAGATGATGATCATTCCATTAAAAGGCATATCTGCCTCATTGCCTCTTGCCGCCCACAACCCATGCCATCCTCTCCTCCCTCGTTGTCTCTCTTTCTCAAGCTCTCTTCCTCCCATTTCCCTCCTCAGACTGATTGAAACAGCCAGTCAGCAGGCAAGCAATGAGGATTTGAAATACATCTACATGAGTTTTTACGTTCTCTTCTAATAATTGGCATTAGTCATTAATATATTTTCATCCCATTCTCTTCTTGAATACGCCAGGAGATGCCGATTCTGCAGGTACCAGATCACGTTTGGACCAGGCAAAATGTGGAAGCTATTCCATCCCCTAGAGGCAACGTGAGCGCATATTACTATATAGTATTCTTGAGGCTTGCTAGGGTATTGTGGATGGGGATGGTGGAGGGGTGTTTAAGCCCAGTGCTAGGCACTGGTTTTTGTTTTAAGCCTTTTCCAAACCGTAACCCTTAAAGCTGCAATATGTAACGTTCTTGGCGACCTGACCAAATTCACATAGAAATAATTGTTATACATCTGTCATTCTCATTGAAAGCAAGTCCAAGAAGAGGTAGATATGCTCTAGGTGTGCTATTTCTATGCTTCCTTTACTTAAGTTTAGTTTTTGCATCTTTTACTTTGGTTTTGTGCACCAGCTTCAAACAGCTGAAAATACAATATTTTTGGTTATGGAAAATATATTTCACAGCTGTTTAGATGGTACAATGATTCTCCACACTACTGCCACAAACTGAAAAAAAGCCAAATATATTAATTTTTGCAACCAGGAAATGGCACAGCAATTTCTGCATCTTTTTTGTTGTTGTTTTAAGCCTTTCCCAAACCTTAATCCTTAAGAGTCTATTGACGCACCCCTAACATAATATAAAAATCCCTGTTTAAAATAGAGAAATGGGCTGCACCTCAATCCACCACCTCCGCCGCTGCAGCTGCAGCGGTGTTTGTCAGACCATGAGACATCCCGAAAATCGGTATTCTCACAATTGTATGTAGCGTCCGAACGGTTTGGCCTACAAACTAATATGACCACTTTATGGAAAGATTAGATTCTCACGAACATGATGGTTTTCGTTTTGCTCTACATTTAAAAATCAAATAGCTAAATGATCCCTACTATGACCATCTTAAAATAATTCCATATGTTAGCTTAGTAGAACCCCTGCAAAGGCTTAGACTTTGAGGTTTTAACCCTTAATCCCAGACCAGCCTCAGACTCCGGCTCATAGGGTTGCATGTTCAATCCCAGTGCTAGGTACTATATTTTTTGTTGTTGTTTGTTTTAAAGGGGAATTGCACCCGCAGATTTGGCCTACTTTTTTTTACTTGCTCCTGAAGAAATGCTGGCAGCCATGACAGAAACCAAACGTGAGTTGGCTTGGGGGTGTGGTTTGATGTGGGTGTTTCTTGGGTGTGTCCTTGCCACCACCAAGACACACCCATCTGTCAGAACCTTGTCCGCAGCTGTTTCCCCCCACTCAATCATAACAAACAAACCTTCTGCAGGTTGAGTTCAATAACTACAGGCAGATGTATGGTGAGATGCCGGAGGAAGCTTTGAATAGGTCAGTAACCTACAGAGTAATATGAGAAGAATGCAATTGCTGAAATTATGTGTTTTGATAACTTTCAAATGTAGTAACAGGTCCACGTAGAAAAAACAACCCTTTACATAACACCATAGAAGCAGTGTTCTGCTAAGATAACAATATGCACCTTTCACCTTTCATTGTCATTCCCAGCCGATACAGATACTGTGCCCATCGGCATTTTGTCTGGTGGAAATGGAACTACCTTGGCAAACGTCAGATCTGTCATACCTTCCTGTGTGGTGTCCCGTATATACAGCAGGAGTTCCCTGATCCTGGTGCAGAATACACAGGGTTTCTCCCTCCCCATATTGACTGATACCATTCAATTCAATAACAATTACTGTGTCTAGTAAAGTTTTAATGCCAAGTCTCTCTCCATTCAGAGACATCAGTATCAATCCCGTCTGTCAGTCTGGACATCACCATCTTGCAAGTCTCCATGTGCTGGCTTCATATATGTTTCTGTGAACACATACACACAGTCACTGTTCTGTTACCAATGGCAGTTAGG